AGAAGATTCCTTCTCTTCATCGGTCGTCACATGCTCCTGAATGCAAATAACATTCTACTGTATATAATCGGCTATGTCCGTGCGTGTGTGTGCGTCTCTCTGTCACGAAATTCACAGCACGTGAAGAAGAACTTGGAGAGGTCGGGTCATGGTGGGGATGGGTAGACATGGGACAAAACCTAAATAGCACCCATGACCCATGGTAAGCCCCGCCCACAGTGGGCGGGGCGTGCGTCGAAAGTTAGCGATGTCACTGAAAAAGTCATAACTCGGTTCCAGAGCAGTCCCGAGATGAGGGAACAGTGCAATAAAGTTAACAAAGGGCTGACCGACCAAATAGAGGAGACACACCCGAAATGGGCGGGCGTACTTGAGATGGGCGGCGCTTCCCGTGTCACTGAAAAAACACCATAACTTGGCTACAAAGCAGCTCGGAGACGGAAAAAGTGGAATAAGGTTAGCACTGGGTTGGCACACCAAATGGAGGAGAGACACCCGAAATGGGCGGCGCTTCCCATAAAGGTCGGTAACTCGGTTCCCGAAAATGTTTAGAGATCGCAGAAAAGTCCATGACGAAGATGAACATCTGGCAAGAGTCCACCATGTTTGCGGCGTGCTGAGGCCCGCCCACAGTGGGCGGGGCGTGCATTTGAGCACGAGGTATAAAAAGTCATAGTTTGGTCCTAAAACACTGCAAGCGCGAGGCATACGTTGTGGGTGGGGCGTGCGTCTAGGTGGGCGGGGTCGGTCCTAAAAATTCTTCAAACGGTTCCAGAGCACTCCTGGCACTGCAGACCTCCTCTGTGACCCGGCCTTGCAAGGGCATGGCTCCATCGCGCCTACCTGCATTCGCATGATCAAATGCTCGACTAATACCCGGCTTTCTCTCCACTCGCTCCTTACCACCATTCCATACACCGTAATGTGTTGAAAATGTGGAATATGAACATGCTATTGGTCAAAAAATGTTGACTCTGTTTAAATAAAAGAAAAGCCGGATACTAGGTGCGTATTGAAATGTAAGCGCGGCGGAGCCGCGCCCGCTCGGCGAAACCGTGCTGTATTTCAGAAAGAGGCGCGCCGGCCGGTCTGAAAATATCTGAAGAATACTGAGCTTAGTCAGCGAGAGATGCGAGCTCGAGCCCACCCCAGGTCTAACCCTTGCAGATAACTCAACATTCTCATTATAAGTGATGGCTCGAGTTTTTTTTGAGCGTTGTGACCCCAGACCATGCAATAACACATTGTAGGAAATCTGCGGCTGCTTTATGGGTCCACCTTCGAAGAAGTGTCTCATGGCGGTGTCTCTATCACTCAAAATACTTTCACATACAGTAACTGCAAAAGTT